ATTTGAAAAACGGTGACATTAATAATTTTATGATTTTTTATTGGTTCTTGGAATATATAAAGAAATGTTAATGATTTAGCAACATGCCATGATCACCTTGCATGTGCAAGCACGTGCTTTTGCGTGCAGTGCGTTAAATGACAAAAAGTTTATATCATTGTAGCTTTTAAAATTCTTTTATGAAATCCTGCAATACTGAGCATATCAAAAAAGTTTTAAAGGAAATTGGCACAAAAAAGGAGTTGGGGAGCGTTTGGGGAACATCTGTAACGGTCCCCGTTACAATTAGCACTAGTTATAAATATGATACTTTAAAGATAAACTTGGTCAGTTCTAGAAGTATACAGTCATGTACGCATATACACTGTATCTTAAGACTATCTGTGAATTTTAAGAATTTCTCAGATCACTTTCTTTAAAAATACAGTAATCATCATAATACCAAACATGACAACTGTAAGATTATCCCAAGTAGCTTTTATTGTTCCATTATTGCTTTTAAAAACTCTTTCCGTAAATGTTGTTGAAGATTGTGCGGTATCGGCTTTAGATTCTGAAATATGAATTTCACTTTCATGTTAACAACAGAAGCAAATTCTACGTGTACTTAGTAAATGAGATGCTATTAAACTATTTACGGTAAATTGTGTCAAATGTGTATACCTGTCATATGTCATACAAAACTAACCACCACATTAAAAAAATATTTGAAAATTAGGTCAAACTGAGGTCAAGATGAAAGGGTCAAAGCTTATAGGATGCTAATAAGAAACATCTTATTACAGACAATGCACAAATCATAAACGAAAGCCGTTTTTCTACTTTTCAAAGGAAAAGCATTTTTTTTAAAAAGTAGATCGAACTTCTAGATCAAGGTCATTAGGAAGAATTTTAAATATTTCTTTTAATGTAATCCTTCTTAAAACTTTGATCACCAATTGTGGCCCAGCTGACTTGCCCCATGAGTCATTATTTGAACAAAATTGAATCTATACTACCAGGGGATGCTTTCATAGAACTATGGCGTTGCTGTTCTTGGGAAGATTTCTTAAGATTTTTTTTCTAAGTATTGCTTCATGTATGTTAAACATTGATACCCTAATGTGGCCCCGGCCACCAAACCCACTCGGGTCATATCATGATTCGAACAAACTTGAATCCACACCACCAGAGGATGCATCTATACCACAATAAACGATCATGGCTCAGTTGCTCTTGAGAAGATTATCTTATGTATTCCTATGTTAAAATGTGATATCAAATTGTGGCCCAATCCTTGCCTCGGGGGTCATGATTTGAACAAACGTCAATCAATACTACTAGAACATGCTTCCACTTCAGTTTCATCTTTCCTGGCATGGTTGTTCTAGAGAAGAAGATTTTTGAAGATTTTTGTTATATATTCCTAAAATTCCTCTGTATACAGTATTGAATTGCTGATGATTTTTAACAAGACGTTATTAATATTTAATACTTACCTCGGCAAGTGTCATTAACTAAGTAATAATTTGCACAGCATTTTGTGATTTTGCCATCGTTAATTCTAAAACAAAACAGTAATTTTATTTAATATCATTTATCAATTAAGATTAAATAATTATCAAAAAAATTCCAAAAAAAAAAGGATTTAATTGCCCTCACCTTTGATAGCAGGTTTAACTGGCAGCACTCCAGAAACATAAAAGTAGTAAATGAACAAAAACGATAAGGTAACAAAACCTCATACTTAACAGCGTCATATGCTTCAAAACTTGTGAAAATGGGTTTATTTGAAACTCAGTACCTCTTAATTAGTTCAAATATGATTAGAATCCGGAAATGTTTTTTTTTTCAAATATTCATGACAATATATTTAAAATCTTTAAATAGAAGTTCTAATATTTCCTGTTGGTAACATCAGTCGATGGTACATGCATATGATTTAGTCTTATTGTGAACATAAAAAATAGCAATTTAGATATCTGATTAAAAAAAGCTTTAAAATTTTGAAAGACCTGGAAAATTAACTGATGTCAGAGTTCAGAATATACTTAATCCTTTTTAAAGAGATGTTTGAATTAATTTTTTTTGATAAATCACAGCTATCCAAAACAAAAACATATTTTACTGGTTTTATAAGAACTTTTTTGCCCAGTTTATTGACTTGAACAAAAAAAAGCACAATACATTCCTAGAATTTATTAAATTTACTTTCCCCTCCATATACTCTGGTATTCTTTCCATCATAAACGGCTCTTATATGTACGTCTTAAAGTACATCAGTCATTAAGCACACCAGTTCTGAAAGGCACTTTAAGGAAAAAAACAATTGTGAGGGAAGGACAAAAATCTAAATATGTATAAGCATTGAATTCTTATTCGTAGATGTCTTCTGTTCTATAACATCACCTTGCATATCAACAAGGAGTATGTAGTACTATAATATATTTCTGATGATACGCAAGGAATTGCCAAGAAAAGCATCACTCGCGAAATTCATGTTGCTGAAATCTATGTAAATTGTAATGATCAACTGGCTTTTAGCGAATAATTATTCCCGCGAATTGACTAAGAAGAGCCATTTTTCTATAAAAATAAGTAACCCCCCCCCAAAAAAAAAAAAAAATCAGGAATCTAGAGTAATAATACATATATGACTGACGACATTAAAAGTAAGATTTCACTGCTGAAAAATAGACCTATTAAAAATTACAACACAAACGCATTAGTCTAGAGATGTTTGCTTAAGTATTAAACTCTGTCCTTTAAAAAAGATAACAAAACAATTAAAAATTAGCAAGAAAGAGGAAAGTTGAAATAATTACAAAATTGGTTACCGAAAAAAAGAATTTTTTTCAAAGATAATTAGTAATGGTAATGAAATCCTTTTCTGTATTTAAGAATGTATTCTTATCTATTAATTTCTTTCAGGAATTCAACAAAATTCAACAAAAACTAGCTCCCTTGTCACAGTAATCAATGAGCATTCTATTCTAAAAACGAATGTGAGTGATATGACGGAATTTTAGCTCTGTAGAATAAAGCTTGACAATAAGCAATGTAAATTTGGCTGCATTTCATTCCCGGAAACTTTTGTAATTATCAACATTTCATTTCCAACATTTTTTAGATTTCATTTCCGGATTTTTTTTATTTCTTTCATTTCCGACATTTTTCAGATAGTACCTTTAGTAACAGATTTTAAGACTCCTTGAAATCCAATTTATGAGTTTTGTCAATCTCTCAATGCTGTGAATAATAAATTTCCCCTGGGGCACATATGTAAGTGTTGTGAGTATTCGAACTTACAAGGAATAAAAATGGTTTGGTGATAACTAAGGCTACTTCCGGAAATGAAAAAGAAATTATGTCGGAAATAAAAAAAATTAAATGTTGGAAATGAAATAAAAAAATGTCGAAAATGCTATGCAGATTTCCGGAAATGAAATGTAGCGGTAAAATTGTCGAAAGATTCAAATGTATTATGTTCCAAATAAAGCTGACTTTGCATATTTGATATAAGTCAAAACTTCCCGAATTCAAAAATTTATTTCTGTTAAAGAAATGCAAATGTAAGTATACAATATCCTGCATTCCTTCAATTGAAGTTTCAGTAGTAAACAGCTTGGTTTTGAATCTTTAAACTTCATGCTAAAAATGAAAAGCTTTAAGCCCAAATCACAAAAATTACCGGTAATGTCTCTGATTTGATATGAGCATATAATTATATTGTCTACAAGGACCAGATCCTCCGAAAACCTGATTGTCATTTTAAATAAAGATAATGTCCTTAGTTTGTCCTTCTTGGAAGCAGAATAATTACACAAGAAAAACCTTCTACATGGATTTATTATATGCTCTTTAATGTCCTCCCCGAGATTTTTTCACCAATACGGAGGCGCTCCTTTTACGTGGACCGGAAGAAACGTAAATTTATCTTGCTCTATTTCCTATATCGACATAGAAATATTTTATAAGTGGCATTGAAAGCAACAGAAACTTAAAAATATATACAAATCCCTGCTTACAATTTTGTCATCACTACCATTGATGTATATGTAGCCTATTTACAAATTTTATATACTTCGAAGAATTTCTGCTTAAACATCAGTGTCATCTGCATTTTCATGACGTTGTGGATCATCACTATTCGTCAGTAGAGGTTGTAATGATATTTTGCGAAATTTCAGCACTTCCCGGCTAAGTATTACCAAAAATACAACTGTTATGAGAGTTCCGACGATAATTATAGCATTTCTTTGATTGGAAAGTGGAAATATACTTTTTGATGGATTTGTGCTTTCAATGTTTTCTTCCCATTTTGTTGTTGACATCTGAAGAGAGGTGTTGAAATTCATGACTGTGTTCGTGATGAAACCTGAAATATACTTCACCTTTTAACCTAAACATATTAACATTGTATAACAAAATTTTCTTGTATATTCAAAAACTGAAATTTAATTGTGATATTCTTCGAAGGACGTTGTCTTTGATGCAACGAAAATATTACACTACATCAATGTAGCAATAAATACTTCGTTTTATTATAATAAAATTAATACTCCAGCTCTGATATGAATATACGCTCATGCAAATATACTCAAGTTCAGATGTAATGTAAACTTTGTACGGGCAGAGGCATGGATATAAAAAGAAGTACACCTTCGATCCCTATAAATAATACCATTTACAAATTACACGAAGAAAATTTGGTACGAACAGACACAATGATGAATAGGAAGTTGACATCAAATCCGTACAAAAATAGATCCCACATAAAAAGAAAATTGTTGCAAGCGTAAACAAAAACTGTGATAATCTTTCAAGCACCTGCGATGAGTATTTCCATAGAGGACTGCGAAGAAATTTTGTAAAGGAAAGACACACTGACTCTCAGACAGACACAAGGGTGAAATAGTATACCTCCTCTACTTCAGAGCAGGGGGTACATGTATTAATACTTTTACAAGGGATATTTTTTTAAATCATTGAGTATATAGCTGGAGGCTTTTACCTGTATTTTGCTTACAGTCAAACATAAGTTTACAGTCTGGACAAGAACAGGCAGCATCACATCCAGATCTGTACGCCAATCCCTCACAGAATTGATAACAATTACACTCAGGACATCCGGAAGGACACACTAAGAGACATTTTTTTTTACCCTATCATATAAATTATGCTCTATTTAAAAAAAAAAAAAGATTTCTCTTGAAAACGTCCTCTTCTTTAAAAAATAACTAACCTTTACAAGTATTGTTTATTAAGTAATGATTTTTACAGCATTTCCCAATTTTGCCATATTTATAGCTAAAAATAAAAACAAGTTAATTGATAAGCGACTATTTCTTTTCATCTTCAATCATTTAAGAATACGGGTATTAAAATTTTCTGCATAACAAAGGAAAAAATATACATTTCCTTACCTTTCATAGCATGATGTTTCAGCAGCAGTCAGATTACATGGTAGTAACATATGAATAAAAAGAAGGTTTACAAATTGCATTATAAAGGTCAATTTTGCGGCAATTTATGCGTTGAAAACGTTATTGAAAACTCTATGCTTGTATCCCTGAGTGTTTACCCATACGTTTGTCATTGAAAAGCGGAAGATATAAGGAATTTTATTTTTAATGCCCTGTTTACACGGAAAAGACAGGGTACATTGTAGGATGAGACCCGTTTTTGCCCATGGTATTGAGGAGAGGGGTCTTTTTTTTAAAAGACGCAAAAGTTTATCAATAAAAATATATTGTCACCCCTGTCACAGAATGACTATTGGCTTTATTTAAGTTATGGGAGACATAGATCCGATAGGAAGTTAATAAAATATGCCAATTTCCGAATTTGCTCATTTTTAGTTACATTTTAATCAATCTAACAGCACATTTTGATTCAGAAAACATTTAATACATTCAAGCTTTTCCATGTACCAAATTTACAATGTATATATTACAATCTGTAGTACATGTATTAAATGTATCCTCTGTATAAAATCTTAGATAGGGAAGCTTATGCTCAATGTTTCCCGAAGTAAGAAGTCTCTCACATTTTACATAATTCCATCAGAATTGAGGAACTTCTGGAAAATATCCTTCTTCTGCATCCTCTTGTGGCCTCCACGTAAGCTTTGAATCAAAATAAGTGCGTTTTAAAACAAACATCAATTTGAGTTTCTTAACGACAAACTTAAACAGTTTTATCTGTGTTCTGATTTTTACATTAGATAAGGGACCAGAAGTAAAATAATTGGAATTAAGTCAGGCCATTATTGCGTCGTTTGCAAATTACGTAACCTTATGGATGCAGTTCATACCGGAGTACAATGTCTCCACGTATTTTTGTTATTTCCGTTGTTGCTCATTCGAAAAATAGCACAAGTACCTATATCTAACCTTCGAATTATGGCGTTTGATTTAGATATGCCCTTCCGAATGCATCAAAACCCTTAAAAAGACTTAGTTGTGTGGGTTTTTTTGCAGGAACATATATTTGTAATTGCGAGCAATTTTCTTACTCTCAATACATTTTACAGGTATTTAATCTTTTTTTTTTTTCGAATTTCTGATTAATCAATGGCTATATATACGGTCTGATATACTCATTTATTCAAACCTTTCAATAAAAAGAAGGATTCAAGATTTAACTCCTCCGCCTAATTGGGAGTTGAACTATGTTCAGACTCCCTAGGTTGTCACGCGATTTCTAGCGCAGTAATTTTACAATTAATTATATAGCGATTGTCGTGGTGTTTCTGTGTCGCCCAATTTACTCCCCTGTGACATTCAATACAAACTTGCACCAGTCTATATAAACTCGAAAAAACTTCCGCAATAAAAATAATCCATCTCATTTTCCTGAACTTATCTAATTTTCATAAATGATGTAAAAGCAAATAAAAAGGATTTTATTTAACTTAATTTGAATAGTATATTTTTTTCCATCTCTCTTGAGAAATGACACGTAAATTTTGATTTCTGTATGAAAAAAAGTCCCGTCATTTATCATTCGGCAATCCTCGGCTGACTCCACTACGCTCCATTACAAAAAGTGCTAGGTCATCAAAGGAGCAACAACTGGTCTAACTGGTTTGACAATGACGCGATTGTCTAAATATAGAGATGTAAACAAAGATGTAAGGTCAAAGGAACGCTAAGGTTTAACCGAACTTCTTTCAATTTGTTTCAGCAATAAAGAGACAGAACAACGTTACTAAAAAAAAATACTATGGAAAATATCACTGTTAGACATTTATTTGCTCTGAAAAGTAAAATGATCTGTTAGACTGGAAAATTTTTGTCAGACCAGATACATGCAACTCATTTTTTTGCGTTGGTAAAGAGAAAAAAATAATAGCATTAAAGTTGTTGATATTCGATCTCACAATTTCAAATGACATTAATTTTACATCCTTTGTTTCATGAGTTTATCAGCATTCAGTTGGTCTCGTGTACAACACCAAATCTGAACTTGAAAAATGTGTATGTACTTGCATTGCAGTATTTCCTTATAAAATCTATCATTTGATTTTATTATATAATTAAAACAGTTAAAATTAATGAATACATGCGTGTGCACGTACACAATGGTATAATAATCCCAATGATCGATCTGTGACAAAGATCGTACCTCATGATTACAGCTGTTTTTTTTTCTTGTAATGGCTCGTTAAACTATGTCTGATTTTTAATTACATTTGAATCAAATCAAAATCACAAACTTTAAGTGTCACTCGCGTGGTGCAGTTGTTAAAAGAGTTTGCTCTAGAGATTCAAAGTACATGTACATGTATAAGGCGTTAATTGATCCTTACGTCGCAGGTTCGAATCCTGTGGGATGCATTTGGAGATAAACTCTTTCGATGAGACCATAAAAACCGAAATCCTATGTCGCAATATATGCTTGCACAAAACGATCCCTCACTACTCAATGGTTTTGAGTGCCGTGTATAGGTAAAAATTTGTAGACTTGCATGTAGCTAGCTCCATCGACAAGTGGTAGTGTCTCAATATAATTGAAACATTATCGAACGCAAAACAAACAAAATGTAAAGTATTCAGATACTTACTTCTATAAAAAAATTACTTGAAATGAAATTTAAAAGTAGGGAATAACAAAACTTAATGATTGAGATAGATACATTTGATAAAACAGATAAGCACGGAGTTCTATAAAAATTAATTATTATGTCCGAAAAGAAACATTCATACCCAAAAGAGAATAGCAAATACTTATTTTAATCAGAGAAAGAAAAATGACAATCTAGTGTCTGGTGATGGTAACATCGAATATAAAGAGTGTTTGTTTGTTTGTTTCTTGGGACCAAATATCTTGTACACATTCTAAAGAGAGTAGGGGCGTTTGGATTCAAATGCTTCAGAAATATAAGGGTAGTGTTTGAGTTTGAGTAAGAAATGGTACTGAAAGAAGTTTGAAACCTACCTACAAAATAGTATTTTCGAGTTTGGAATTTTCTTTTTTTGGTGGTTGGGGTAGTTTGTTTGGTTTGGTCAAATTGTTGAGGTAAGAATTAAAAATAATAAATCCAGAACTAAACTTAACTGTTCGTGCGCAATAAATATACAGTTTTTTTCATGGATGGCACTGTAGCTCTACGGTCTGTCAAAATCTTTTTTTTCGGACAGCTACAGTTCTGCAGCTAATTTAGAAGCAGCCCCATGATTTTGGCTATTCAAGTGCAATAGAAATTATTTTTAATGTTTCGTGTTGTATCTCTAGCAAATCAGTTCTAGCTGACTTGAATCTGAAAGCATGAAACTGTTCCTATACTTCCCGTGAGATCTTTCAGATAACTATGTTTAACTCCCATGAGTACTTTCAGTATTTTGATTTTTAATTAGTCCTCGCATTGCTAGAAACCAAATTCTCTTGTACTTTAAGATGTCTACTATTTTTAAATAAAAAAGAAATTAATATATTCTTATTTTGAAATAAATCAACTTCTTTGAAATTAAAAGAGAATTTTTAATTTTGATAAGGGTTTCAAATAAATTCGAGGGGTTTTCAAAAAGTTCGTTGACTGAGTCTATAAATTGAGTTCTACATGTATGTAGTCTGTGCTTTCAAAATTTATATGGAACATAAAACAACAGAAAATAAAGAAATCTTGAAAATTTTAGCCTGATACATGTACGTTCATTTTTTAACAAATTGTTATAAAATAAAAACGACAATATATGATCACCCGGCGCTGTCGTCGTTTATTTTCACGACGTTCGATAAAGTCATTGTTTTTTTCAATGTCCGCTTCTTCTACCTCATACACGTTTTTGATGAGATTCTCTGGAGCTGAGTAAGGACTTAAACCCGCAATGTCATGAACAGTGGCTTTCAATGAATATAATATTCCAAATGGATTAATCTATTGGGGGAGATCTGAGCTTGATTGTGCCGGCATATTTTGCTCTTGGGAGTTTAATATCTACAACGCATGATCAACGTCATTTTTTGACGTGATTGATTTTTCACATCTTGAATGTCCCTTTTCTCTCTTAATCTTTTTTGACATTAAAAGACAAGTACTCTGGATGCATATTATTTCTCTGCAGCTAGTTTCAACATATTTAATTTTTGGTCTATACCAGTTTTTTTTTCTGTGGCCAAACTTTATAAAATGTTGGAAACGAACCCCCCCCCCCCCCCCTTTTTGACGTCACGTTCAAGGCTTCATTTGTTTGTACATTCTGTGTAAAATTTACGATAACATTTGATAGAACTTCCAGAATGACGTGAAAATTTCATATTTTATGGAACAATTATGTCCCGACACATACCCGAATTAAAGGGATTTTTGGATGTCAAATGATCATATCAAAAGAGTTTTTCTCAGCTACACATATGTCGCGGAAACGTCGTGTTTGAGGTTGCGCTGCCTGCTCATACCTTTGCTTACGAAAATATTACTAATTTATAAAAAAAAAAAAATTGATGAGTTATGGTTTATTCTATAGATAGATTGATTGATTGTATATTGTTTAACGTCCCTCTCGAGAACTTTTCACTCATTTGGAGACGTCACCGTATGCCGGTGAAGGGCTTCAAATTTAGACCTATACTCAGCACTCAGGGCCATTGAGCAATAAGGGTTTTTTATCGTGCCAGCGCCTACCGTGACACGGGACCTACATTTTTACGGTCATATCCGAAAGACCCGTGACTTTCACTTCTAGTGCCGAGCGTTTGGCGAAGGAACAGTCACTACATTTGTTTACGTCTTAGGTATGACACGGCACCGCGAACGAGAATCGAACCCGGGCCTCCCGATCACGAAACGAACGCTTCATCACTAGGCTACCGTGACCGGTTCTATAGATAGAAAAGATGATGCTAACTAGGTATTCCAAAATTCATTGATGTGCCTAGAGCAGTTTTAATTTTATAACGCTAGTCCACGAACTTTTTGATAACCCCTCGTACATGTTGTGTCAACCATCTGATTGATCGATTGACTGATTGATTGACTTTACGTTG